ACGGTCTAGTGCCGATCAACGATCATAGTCGCAGATAAAAATTCATGATGATGATGATGATGATCCTTGAAGTTCTCCATTGACATCTTCAGCTGCACTGTCGTCATCATCATCATCATCATCATCATCGTCAGATGATCCTTGAAGTTCTCCATTGACATCTTCAGCTGCATCGTCATCATCATCATCATCATCATCATCATCATCATCATCATCATCATTATCATCTTCATCTTCATCTTAAGCCCCGTTTTCACACGGTCGATTTACGATCAACGATGATAATCGCTGATCAAGATGATCATCAGTTGAACTAGTCATCACTTAGTCATCGAGGTCTCCAGTGTCTTTCTTACCTTAATTACCATCATCAGCATCGTCATCATCATCATCATCATAATCATCATCGTCATCGTCATCGTCATCGTCGTTGTGAGCATCATTATCCTTATAACCACATCACCATCGTCACCGCGCTATTCCCATGATTATCAATCACGTTGTTTTGCTGACATGGTCGTTGGCGACGTCTTCGCAGATTGCTTGTTGATCAGGTAATCAATTTATCCATCTGTCAATTAAGTAGATCTATCAATTGACACGTCGGAATAATGATCAATCGATTTGTCCAATCAATATACACCTAGATCAGATGTTAGACCGGCATCACGAGTACGTGCATCAACTTCAAGGTACTTCGATTGCGATCCTTCGGATTTCTGTCCTGTCATTGAGGAATCGTGCCCATCATCGCCACAAATATCCTCTGTGGTTATCATCAATCAATCAATCAATCGGGTCAATCAATCGGTCAATCGGTCAAACGAACAATCAATCAATCAATCAATCAATCAATCAATCAATCAATCAATCGGGTCAATCAATCGGGTCAATCAATCGGTCAATCGGTCAAACGATCAATCAATCAATCAATCAATCAATCAATCCGCGTCATTCCCGTTCATCTTTTCTTTTGGGGTGAATCTAGACGTAATTGCGCGGACGGATTGATGATGGGCTTGCTCGTTGGTTTGATGATGGAGGGGCTAAGAAATTGTTGGGCTTGATGTACATTGTTGGGCTTGATTACCCCCGCATCATATAGACATGATCTGAACGTGGATCTGGTTCATGCTAACGTAGGGCGATTACTGTCTTACGTTTACGCTCACACTTGGACTCCTTTTCGTCGACTGAATGTAGACGTGATTGCGCTCACATGCATCCACGGAATTCCTTTTGTCAGGATGCTCTACGCGGGGCCTAGACCCAACGTACTTGGATCAATATACCAGAGCAGGAGAGCGTTTGCTTTAAGACTTTTTCCAAGTAAGACAAGACGGAAACCACAAAAGCATATGCAGAAGACATCACCCGTCACATCAAGGAATATGAAGGCAGAACAGACACGTTGAGGAGAGAGAGAGAGAGAGGCACACAAGCGTGAGGGTTGGCACCATGCCCGTTTAACGCTCTCCGCTGCGTGGGCGTCAGCAGATGCAGATCATCAGATGGAGCCGCAAGGAGCAACGGCGTGACACGACGTGAGCAGAGCGGTACTGAAAAGAGTGGAGAAAGGAGGAACGGCGTGAAACACACGTGAGATCGAAATCCAAATGAAAAGACGAACTGGGCAAAGAGAGGGAAAAAAAAAAAAAACTTTAGGGAGAGCGGGATCACCCGAACTGGGCAACGAGAAGGAAAACTTATTAGAGGGAGAATGGGAAAAGTGGTTAATTCCCGAAAAAAAGAAAAAAAAAAGGGAAAAAAAAAAAAAAAAGTGGTTAATGAATGGTTAGACGGATGGAGGTGCCGGGTATCGATCCCGGTGCCTCTCGCATGCTAAGCGAGCGCTCTACCATCTGAGCTACACCCCCGCCATGGGGTGAGGGTCGGGGGGGAAGATGTTATTATCTAATCCGTGAGGCACAATGTATTCAGCGTGGGGTGCTCACAACTGAAATTGAGTATAGGCGTGACACGTGGGTGGCTCATTTTCTTCCCGTCATTGTTCCGCAGAAAGAAAAAAGAAAAAAACTTTAAAAAAGGGCAACATGAATGACCTCGTTTGCGAGGCCCTATGCTTGCAGGGGTCCCCTCTATATAGTCTTAGGAGTAGTGGTAGGAAGGTAGTGAAAGGCGAAAAAGAATTTGAGAGAAGAACATAGTGTATGAAAAAAGAAAGAAAGAAAAAAAATAAAAATAAAAAAAAATTAGACATCAATGACAGAAAATGGGGGAATGCAGCCTTCCGAGCACAGAACGGGTATGAAGACGTGAACAACCGAAACGCGTGCCATTTCATGATCATGGAAGGCGCATGGCACGATTCCGTGAAAGACCCGGGACCGGGGGCTAGGTCCCACTTGCACGAATTAAGGGAGAGAGAGACGGTAGATCGCCGAGATCAACGGCCGAAATCTCCTAATCCGTGCAAGTGGGACCTTGCCCCGGGACATGCGAGAGGCACCGGGATCGATACCCGGGGCAAGGTCCCACT